AATTATTGGTGGCGATGAGATTTATCCAGTCGTGTTTGAGTGTAAAGGGTTGTTTTGCATTAGTATGGGCTCGATGCTGGGTTTAGGATCCTCAGTTTTGTTCTTCACAAGATTTGGGCTCATTGAGCCCTAGATTCTAAGGTCATTTGCAAGGGAAGAGGGTTTGTTGTTGCTACTTGGGCTTGTTTATTGAGCCTAGTAGCTCATTTGTTTGGTTGCTAGACTGTCGTGGTAGTAGAAGTGACCCAAAGATGCATGAGAGGCAAAATTAGAAATTTAGCTTAGTTAAGCTGTATTAATTGTTCTAAAATCAGAGTTTGAAGTCCGCTTAATTCGATTCCATGCTCAATGTTAGTATCAGCTGATTCGCATTATTGGTCTTGGATGTGGATCATTTGGATCGTGAGAGCTTAATTAACAATTCGATTAGTATCAGTTAATTTGCTTAATTNTCTAAAGACGTGTTTTAGATGACGTTGAAAATCTTCCTTAAAATAATCAAAAGCGGTTTAAAGCTAAAATGCACATAGGTTTAAAAGTGTTTTAAAATCAGATAATTAGGCCAATAATAACAGTTGAGCAACCGTGCTAAAACCACGGAACTCGGGAATGCCTAACACCTTCTCCCGGGTTAACAGAATTCCTTACCCGAATTTCTGTGTTCGCAGACCGAAAAACAGAGTCAATCTTTCCTTGATTCGGGATTCTAAATCGGTGACTTGGGACACCATAAATTATCCCAAGTGGCGACTCTGAATTTTTAAATAAAATAATCCCGTTTCGATTGTCACTTTAAATTGGAAAAAAAACTCCCTTATACCCTTCTAGGTGTAGGAAAAAGGAGGTGTGACAGCTCTGGCGACTCTGCTGGGGACAAGAACCCAGAACTTCTGGTTCAGGGTTCAAGAATTCGAGCTTAGAATAATTGTTATATTTGGCTTTGTTTATTATCTGGTTTTATTCATATGTTTGGGCCTAATGTGCTAAATGTTGCTTTTTACCGATTTGATATTGGTGAACTGTATATAAATTGTTACGAATCCCTCCTCTCTCTGAGTCTTCTAAATCATTTGAGAAGGGTGCACTTCGTGTAGCTTCTCTTCTGTTAGAGTCATATCCCAAATTTAGAACGAGGTTCGGACAAGTTGCAAAGCCGGCGAAGCTTCTGTATTTCCGGTACGCTGCCTCCCCTCGGCTCGAGCTGTCCGCTCGGGTAAGCCAGGTCTAGAACAAATAAACCCAGGTTTTAAACCTAGAATAACTCAGCCTCATGCCGGATCCCTAGTAGGAGCGTTTGTTGCATCACGTGCATTTGACTTAAGGGGCTCAACACAGGGGTTGGGTCCGTCTAGGACAGGTGTACCCAAAATAATAGACCATCTTGATGCATCCTATGTGCTACATGTTGCATTTCTTCAAGGGTAAAAGGGTCATTTGGTGGACCAATGATAGTTGAGGACAAATGAAAAAAAAAGAAGAAAAAAAGAGGGTGAAGTGTGAAGATAAAGCGAGTGGGGCCCAATTATGTTTCTGTCACATTTTGTTAAGGAAAAAAAGAGCTTGGAAATTCAAAAAAAAAAAATTGCACTTTTTCATCATTTTCCGAAAATCAGAAAATCAGAAAAAAGGAAAAAAAAAGAAAATCCAAAAAGAGTTTACATGTTTCATCATTTTCAAGGAAAAGACAAAAAATATATTTTCTCTAAATTAGTTTTTTCTTATTTTTCGCCCGTATCCAATCGGCCCGAACTACGCATACCTGATTCTCGTCTTTCGGGGCGTGATACGTAGGCAACCCACATAGGGTCCGGTCTTCCTAGTAAATCTTAGGTTCTTCGCTTCGCGGGGTGTTAGCCAAATCTTGCATTTTTAGCCGCATAGGTTAATTTTAGAAAAATAGTCACAACCATGTCTTGCATGTGTCTAGTAGGGAGTGTTATTGTCTCACCTAGTGTTGGTTTGAGTTATTTTCATACAGGTGTGGATTTACTTACCGAAGTTTGAGCATGACAGAGTCCCAGGACCATCTAGTCAGGACCGCTCATTCAGGAGTGGATTAAAAGGAGATTTTCTTTTCTTTTTATGTTTGGCGTCTGTTTTTCTTTTTATGTCATCTTTTACCTTCTAGTTTTGTATAGAAATATCGAGTTTTTTTTATTTTTGTATTTTCTGTTTTGCATTTGAAAAAGTGTGTTATAAATCAAAAATCCAAAAAAAAAAAAAGAAATGTTGCATTTTATATTTCTGTTAGAAGTTTTGTTTAGAATACTAAATCTAAGAATAAAAAGAAAAATCATTTGAGATGGTTTTCCTTTATTGAATCAATATCTAGAAATAAAAATTGCTTTTTCACGTTTTTGTGGATAATCACAGAAGGTTTTAATCTTCTGTAATTTTGACGAAGTTGAGCACAATTCCCGAATGGAGGTTTATGGAGCGAAGCAGCTTGACTTATTATAAGTCCAGCACATGGGTATTTTCGTCCGATCGGATAAAAGTTTATTAGTGCACTAGCTGAATATTAAATATATTTTAAATAGTGGCTTAAGAGGAAATATAATTCTAAATAGTGGCTAATTGTACACTTTCCCGCTAAATGGTCAACTCCTTTTTAGTTAATTATCCCTAATTAATTTAGTTTCCCCTTTAAGTTAATGATCGTATGTCTAATCATAATTGTGAAAAGCTTTTAAAACTACTATGCTAATAATAGGTGGCTGAGGGAATAAATACTCTCCGTTAGTTATTTTCTATTGGCTATTGTAACCAAACAAATTTACTAATTAACAAATGCCAATTTCTGGCAATTATATAATTGCTCATCTTTAGAAAACATCTATTATGACTAATGACTAACATGATCGTGTAAACAAGTGAATTTCAACAATTAACATACAACAAAATCCAATTTAAGCTACTAATTTTGATTTCTCAAAAATGCCAACAGTAATAACTCGAAACTTCCCCACCAACTATTCGAACCAATAAGTAAAATTCAATTTTCAGGTCAAACAAATGGTCTCGATTAGTTTTTCAATCAACGTCCATAGAAGAAGCGGAGGAGGAGCAGACATGTTTTATTTGAAGGTTGCCAACATTTTATATATACTTGTTTCTCTTCAGGTGCGTTGCTCGCGTATGCTTAGTTATGTAAAATCAACTTTTATTACTTTTCTCGCTAAGATTGCATTGTTCTCAACAATAACGAATCTAGCAAAACAGGGTTACAAACCTGGATATTTTAATTCATTATTAGATCTCCACAACATACAAATAATTTTGCTCCAAATATCCTCTCTATTAGCCCTCATATAGTAGAATAATTATCTTCGCTTGACTTTGGAGTCCATATTTCTGCTTGTGGCATTTTCTCATAACCTTCCTAGTAAAATAGAATAAATCCTCAGTTTGTAGCCGAATAACCATGCACTATCAAACTTGATTTATCGGTCCTCCTTTTTCAAATTTCTTCACATATTTGTATGTTTGAACAATAAGGAAGATTCCATTAAATTGAAAAATTAGTATCCTAAAATTTTTGTAAAATTTTGAAAATAATTCAATGGAGTAAAATTGCGCAAGAGAATTTTAACGAAAAATATAAAATGAATGTAGACAGGATTTTTTCAGAAAACTATATTTAGGTTAATAATTTTTCCACACGGTGCAAATGATAAAAAGAAATACACTAACATCTACTAAAGGAATTAAAATTACACTCAATGAATAACTATCATAAGATGATTGCTTAATATTTTTTTTTTCTCTATAGATGATTCACGGAAAGATAGTGGGAGAGGAAGTCATAAAATTTCTAAACAATATGGTGCAAAAAATGTTTTTTGAAGAAAACGGAAAAAAAAAATAATGTACGTGATTTCAAAAGGTAATTCTTCATTTGTAATTTTGTATTTAAATATTAAATAGTAATAGCTTTTTCATGCTTTGTAACTAATTATTCATAAACTCAACAATTAAATTGAAAGATTAGTTGCAAATAAAAATTATTCCTTCTCACAACTTAAACTAAATATGTATTTTTTTTCTCATCTAAAATTCTTTCATTTAACTCCTCTTGTTTTAACATTGATATGATATTTGTCTTTGCAATGATATTAGTCACATTACGTTCGGTTTTTCCATCTCTTCGCTTCGTACAAATCTCGTCTTCCATCTTTTACTTTGCTATAACAATCTATCACATTATCAAGCAAAAAACAAAAGAACAAAAAAAAAAAGACAAATGAAATAAATTAAATTTCTTTTAATAACATGAATGTTGTCTACATACAACAGTAAGTTGTTATCTTGCCTTTTGTTGGCGGTCAGTCACAGGGAAAGAGTACGACATCTTGTTATCTAATGTTTGCAGAAAGACACACCTGTTAAGAAAAAGGCATACCGATTTGTTTTTTTAATCTTTTCAATTATTAATTATCTTATTATTTTATATAAAAATTTAGAAGGGTCAATAGGTAATTTAACTTTTAAGTTTAGGGGTTCATGCTTTTAATATATATATATATATTCCCTCGTTTAAAATATTTTAACCATATTTGACTGAGCACAAAATTTAAGAAAAAAGAAGACTTGAAACTTATCAAAACAATACATATATTTGTGCGGCTATATATCATCTCATTAAGGATAAAAGAAAAATTTTAATATTAAATAATTTCCACATTTAAAAAAAATTCATTTCTTTTTTAAACGAATATATATATATATATATATATATATATATATATATATATATATATATATATATATATATATATATATATATATATATATATATATATA